GGTCTGGGGGAGGACGAGGCACAGATAGTGACCTAATCTATCTTCCACTCATTCATTCACTCATTCGTTCGGCAAATATGGCTGAGTGCCCACTTTGTGCCCTGGCGCTACCACAGAGAAGACGCATTACTCAGAAAGCAATTCTTTCACTGCTCATAGCTCAGCCTTGCTGTTTCAAGCCCTCAAGGGGTGTCTGAGCTCCCTGGTACAAAGAGGAATACTCTCTGTCCATTCATCGCTCACCTTCTCTCTTCACTTCTGGTGTCCCCCTTGGGAGAGGGGGTGACTCATCCTCTAGGCTCTAGGACCTTGTGGGACACGCCACGGTTATTTCCTGGCTTAGCTTCTCCAGGGGTTTATTACAGTTTGTACACAACATGAATGTAGAGGGGCTGCTCCCGGGTTCGAGGAACTAAAACACACACAGGGCCTCACTCGGGGAACCCAGCCTCCTTCTCAAAGAAGAAAAATTTTGAAGGGATGGCGAGATACTTCTTGAAGCCTCCCCCAGACAACACATCGTAAAGCACTCAGAACAGGACACCCCTGCCCACCACCCACCAGCTGAGGGACGCAGACCTATCGGAAACCAGATGCCCCACCTGGCACCTGGCCCTGCTCAAGCTGCCCCTGTCTCCCCTCCCTACACCCCAGGGGGAAAGAAAGTTCCCAGGCAGGGCTGTGAAGCTGACCTGGGTGCCATGGGCCAAGGAGGCCCTCTGCGAAGAACTCAAAGATGCAGAAGAATGGAGGCCCAAATGCCTCCAACAGCCTCAAAGCAAATCATCTTTTAATTCCGAAACACCAAATATTTGATTTATGCTTTACCTCAAATGTCAAGTCCACCTCCAGGCACATAGCTCTGAAACCACGTAAGGAGGCCTAACACTTTCCATATGGTGAAGACATGGGGTCTTTTAATTGTGCCAACTGGTATCATTCAAGGGTAATTCCCCAGGAATCCAGCACTCGGGCAGCAGCTGGGCCAGCCTCCAATCTCACTGCCCAGCCCCACGCGTCCCGGAGGGCTCCAACGGGGCCTGCGCCCTCCCACTCTTCCCCAAATATCAAAATGCACTAGGTGTCCCCTAATCAAATTACCTAACCGCCTGGCAGCCACCTTTGATCCAGAGGCAGGCTCGCCTGCACCAGTCTCACGTTCTCTTCAGGCAGCTCTGCTATAAAAGAACAAAAGGGCCAAACGGTGGGGGGAGGCGATGGTCTTAAATACGGCCATGCACATGCACGCATGCACCCGTGTACATACTGCACGAGCGTGCACACAGGTGCTGCCTCTCCAAGTGCTGTCCTGCCAATATCCCTGTGTGCATCATGCTATTCCAGCCATCTAGTCTAAGCTTTCTTATTTCACCCATTATATTTCCAGGCCCAGTATTTCCAACTGGTTTTCTTTTATACCTGCCCGTTCCTCATCATATTTCCAATACCACCCTCCTTAATCGCCTTGAGATGATTATGCTTATTTTAATTTCTAATTGTTGAGCACATTGTTGCCTGGCATGTAAATTGTTCATTTTATTGTTTTTCTTTTGTAGTACTTGTATACCTGGCATTCCTCGTTGTTTTTCTCCTCTGAGCTCATATTCCCTTGGAGTTCATCATGAACCCACAGAAAGAGCAGAGGCCCTGGCCTTCACCTGTGTTCCTCCAAGTGAGTCTACAGTGTAGAGGGTGGGGGGAGCCTCTGGTTTCCTAATCTGGGCCCCCCATTTCCACCCCTAGCAGTGTCTCAGCAAACCTCCCAGTACCATTCCCCCGGGTTCCACTCGTTTTGAAGAGTTATCTGTCATAACCCTGCCAGGGATGAGAATGTTATTGTGCCCATTTTGCAGATGAGCTAATTAAGGTACACAAAGGTAAAATGGCTTAGACAAGGTGACACGCTCCTATGGCACAGCCAGACTTTATTTATTTTTGTATTCAGGGCACACTTAGGTCGGTGCCAGCGAGGCTGCCCTCTACACCTCAGGACCTTGCACGCGACTTGCGCGCACCACACGTTTACTAAGCTATTCAGACCCCACCAGGGAGGATGAGGGTAGGCAGGGACCTCTCATGCTTCTGCCCATCCCAAAACCTGCCTCACCCTGAAGGACTCACAACCAGCAGGCTGCCACCTCTCTGAGAAATAGTAAGTGCGACACCCTCCGGGCAGCAGACGCTCTGGCACAGGGCTTTGCCACATGTGGCTTCCGTTGTCCTAGAAAGTACTCCAGAAAGGGAGAAAACAGAGTCCCCACTGGCTGGCTGGTGACTTGACACGGTTATAAGGATTACGATAACGTAAGCAAAGCAATTGACACATACAGGCACTTAATAACTAGTAGTTACCACTGCAATAATAATAACGCTAGTTAGATGAGCCACTCATGTGTCCCCGGCCACTTTGGTTAAAGGCCGGCAAAGGAGTGGAGACAGAGGTGATTCCTAAGGCAGGCCTGGGGCTGCTGGGGGGACCTCTGCCAGCCCTTGGAACCAGCAGGCTCTGGAGCCCACACCCTCCTACATCCTGGTGATATAATGGAAGAACCTGCAGCCACCCTTTCCGTGCTGCTGGGAATCACGGAAATTACACCAGACACACGGCTGCCCACCGCTGTCCTGCACAGGGTCTCAGTGTTTCCCGAACTTGGGGCATTCCATCCCCACAGTCACCACTTTGACCACTTGCATGGAATTATTCTTCTCAGAATCCGCTTTAGACTATCTCTTTCAACTTAGCTTCATCCTAAGCAGTAGTATCCATGAAACCATAGGTTTGATGTTCTAGTTCTTTTTCTTCGGCTAAAAGAAAAACGTTAACTATTAAGATGAAAACTATTCCTCCAGAAACCACCTGAAATCGCCTTACAGGCCCCCATCTTGGGTTCACCTGACCATTCCCAGGGTGTACTTGTCACCCCCACCTCCTCAGACTCAGTAGCTGGGTCAGGGCTGGCAGGCACCCAGGCGTCTGGGTCCAAGTCACTAGGCACAACTCTCAAGAAATCAGAGATCCCCTCCCCTTAATACCTTGGATGGCGGGGCCCACCCTCCACCACTGAACATATGTCATGCTGATGGCTGTGTGTCTCACTGTCTTCAAAAGTGCTTTGAATAAACATTAATGACCCCTCAGTGCTTCTCTCTGAGACAGGGGGAGAGGACTGGAGGGGGCAAGCACCATCCCATGCTGTCCTCAGCTGGGGGAAGAAACCCGGCAACAAAATTCTGTGACTTGAACAAAGCCACCGACTTAAGCTGGGCCCCCTCCCCACCCTCCCTCACTTCCCCCCACGGCAACTTTTACTGGCTCACATTCCTCTTGCTGGGAACACTACTATTTAATTAAAAACGACAGACTTTTGTTTTTCTCTCCTTCCTTCCTCCTCCCTTCCATCCTCCAGGACTAGATGCCAAGGAGACCCACCAAAAACATGCGGGTAACATTTGTTACGGCTTTGAAGATAAAAGTCAGTTGAAGTAAGCCCTCACTGTAGTTCAAGTTTCCCCTAAAGCATGGAGCAAACTGCCTGGCAGTTTAGGAAAGGAAAAAAAAACGGGGGGGGGGCTGCAAAAAAAATGGCATTCTGCAGGAATACTTTGTAAAAATAAACATGCTGAAAAAACCCAAAACTTGATTAATGGAAATCCACTCAGTTGGCCTGTTTTGAGCCACAAATGTATTTGTTCGTATGGCTAAATCAGAGCATTTTCATTGGGCTCTAAAGAAGTAGATCAAAAACTAGCAATGATGGGGGACGACAAGCCAGTCTGTAAGTCTGCTTTTAAAGGGCCCTAACTGCAGTGCCCCCCACCCACCCAGTTTTGACCTGTACTAGGGGACAGCAGCTCCCATTCCAACCCAGCCAACAGATGAACAGAAACGCAGAAGAGAAAGCCCAGCTAAGCAGTGGCGGTGGAGAAGGAGATGGGAGTTTCTCCCAGACGCAGAGGTTATTTCATACACGAGCGAGAATAGGCTTTATCCAGAGGCTCACCTCCCAGCACTGGCCCCTGCCACTGAGCTGTACCCAGCCCAAGACTCACCACTCAAATACACACACACACACACACACACACACACACACACACACACACACTCACATCTAAAAACTCCACTGGCCCCTCCCCAGCCATGGACAAGACCAAAGAACTAACCAGACCCGAGACTCAGTCTGTTCCCCTCTAAGTTAAAAAAAAAAAAAATTAAATGTCACATCAAAAAGTTGATTCATCCTTTGATCCTTGGCTTTCTTGAGTTCCACGCAGACCATCTGAAAGCCCGTGCAGAGTTCCAGAGCTCAGAGGACATCTGTGATCACCAGTCCCAGGCCAGGAGCTGGCGCTGGACTCACTCAGTCCCCTGTCACATCTACTGTTCCCCCAGGAACAACTCCAACCTTGGGGACCCACTGGGTGAAGGCTCAGGGATGGGCCCAGGCTATAGCAGAATGAGGTGCTCTCATCGTGGGCCAAGACAGGGAGTGGAACAGGTCTCAGTGCCTCCCAAGCTCTGCCACCCAGACAGCAGCCTGCTCTAACAGGGGTTCCCAGGCAGATGGTAGTGATGAATTGTCACAGACACTTGGAACACATCAGGAGGCCAGCACAGTCCTGCCCGCTACCCAGATACCCCTAGACTCCTTCCCTCTCTCACTAGCCCCATCTCTAAACCCACCTTTGAATGCTGACCACAAAAACAAGATAGTCAGAGCAGGCCGCCAAATTCCTCCGGTACAGACAAGATTCCCCATCAAATGGACCTGCAGCACCTCCTCACCTAGGACCTTTTCTCCCACGTGGCCCTCTGCCCCGACCCAGACAGGAGACTGCCACCTGTGTCACCTCTAAGGTTCCTCAAGGCATAGGGGTACAGGGTCATATTGGTGGGGCAGGGGCAGCTGAGAAGGGGTGTTTGAACTTAGAAGCTGTCCCAAGAGGGTGCTAAAAGTTGGGGTGGGTGGGTAGGTTGAAGGAGGGGTGTCTGGGGTTCATACCCGGGTTCCTCTGCCAACAGTGCCTGCCGCCCGCAGCTGTCGGGGTCCGGAGCTGCCACCGGGGCAGCGCTGCCTCCCAATCCACTCCTCGATGCCTTTCCGAGCCCAGGCAGCACTCACAGCAAAGCTGTCACCTGGGTCAGGGATGACACACGCCCCTGAGTCTGGCCACCGGCTGGCCGAAAGTTACCCCAGAGAAGAGGGAAAGGGGGGGGGCGGGGGAGATGCAGGCGGGGGTTGAGAGCGGGGACACAATCCAAGAGAGGGATGCAGGCAATCAAAGGGAATCCAGCTAAGCTCCAAAAACAGGGACCCAGAGGGGAGCGCGAAGGGGGAGCAGTACCCAAGGAGGAAGGGCCTGGAGATCAGAAGAGGGAGCCCCGGGGGCCGGGACTGCTGAGCGAAGGGGTGAGGGTCTGAACATAGGTTCGGTGAACACGAGGCGAGGAGAAGAGAACTGAGGGTCAGTGGGCGCGGGAGCCGAGATCTCAGGAGAGGGAGCTGGGGACCAGAAAGCGAGGGCAGAATCTTGGGGGCAGGGGCTTGGGAGTCTAAAGAGGGGGTGCAGTGAGCGCGGAGGGCGGGGACCACGAAAAGGGGGGGTTGAGGCTCTAGAGAGGGAGCACAGGACCTCGGGGAGGGGGGAGGTGGACAGAGGAGGGGACACGAAGGCAGCTCCAGGAGCGGGTGTGTGGGGCTAGTGGCCAGAGCTGGGGGTGGGGCTGCCCCCGAGCATGAGACCCCGCGGGCTAGGCCGTTCCGTCCATCCCCCTGGTCCGCGCCCCGCGCGCTCCTACCTTCCGGGCTCTCCCTGCGCTTGCACACGGCGGCTGCAGGCACATCGCGCGCGGCGGCGGCGGCGGCGGGAGCCGGAAAGAAAGGAGAGGCAGAGAGTTAGCGATCGCGGGGGCGAGGGCGGCGGGGGCCCGGGGCCGGCGCGCGGGCGCTGACACTGACCCGGCTTGGAGTGAAGTTTCCCCATGCTGGGGGCGCGGCGGGAGGGGCGTCCTTAAGCCATGCGCCCGGCCCACGGACCCCGCGGCTGGCCGCGCCTCGCCTGGCTCGCCTCCTTCGGGAGCAGCCCCCGAGCCGAGCGGAGCCCGAGGCGGCGCCG